GGACCTTACAAGCTGCGAGTCCAGGTCTAAAGCAAGCAAACTGTATATATAATTTCATATAAAAACAGTACGTGTTCTGCATAAAAATGTACAAGTGAATAGCAAAATTGTACTATTGTGTAATGGATGAACAACAGGTATTCCTGTCTAAAAGTCTACTTACTGAGATACTACGCTATCTAAATTGAAAAAAAAAAATCTTATTTATGAGCATGTGTAGCTAAACAGGATTAGACAACTTTAAGTCAAGACTTTTTTCATCTCAGTGACTGTCTTTGGGATTATACTGGTTTTAAACTGCAGAGAATAAATTGCGCCCCACAGTGTAGTCCTACTATAATATGTTTTTTCACTTTAGTTTAATTTGACTCACAATACTGCATTTTACATGGCAGGGGGTATATTTGTTAATGTGTTTGTCTGTGTCTTTCTGATACTGGGACAGAACTGCTGAAGGTGGGCAGTGTATCTCTGTTTTTGAGCCCCTCCAATGGCCTTCATTCGCAGTCGCTGTTGTTGGATGAAGAGAGGGATCGTCTTCTGTTGGGAGCCAGGGACCACATCTACTTGCTTGACCCTGACAATCTGGCTGAATCCCCTACAAAGGTATGCTTTATATATGCATGTGTAAAATCAATATAGCATAAAGAATAATCCAGGTTCAGACGTAAAAAGACAAGACACTGTACTAAGTAAAGAGCAGTGCTTATTTTTGCATTTGTTCATGTCATTTGTTAGAATGTAGACATTTTTTCAGGTACACGTCAATATATTTACAGGAGTGTAAAGTAGAGCCAGAATGATATATCAGGAGGGACAATATATTTATAGATATTAGCTGTTTGCCGATATATCTGTATTAGCATTTATAATGGACAATAAATGAAAATTATAAAAATAAAGAAGAGACCAGGTACACAACCTTATGAGTGTTGATGTTTTTCCACCAGAAGGCACTCTCCAACTTCCTGTTTGAAATGCCACAAACAAACAACAAAACAAGCTGAGTTGGGTAGAGTATAAATGAGTAAAATATCGAGGACCACTTGTAAAACTAAAACAAGAATACTTCAGTATTGGTTTAAAAACCTTATATTACTTGGAGAAATTTAAGTTTAAAGCTTTCACACACGTTAACTGACCTGTTAGTTAATGTGAACAATGCATTATGGAACATTTAGCTGCTACCTGTTTGGCAATTAAGTGGGGCGATAAGAATCGTTTTTTCCATTAGGATTTTCCCAAAATGCACTCAGCTATGTATTGTTTTAGAGAAACACTGATCTTTCAGTCAATAGCAGTCTGAAGTTATCTGTCTAGTAAGGTCAGGGTCATCAACTTAGAGAGTCCTTGCCCCCACCCACACGCATAGAGCACACACACAATTACATACATCAGGTATGTACACGTTTGATGGAGTGTGCATGCTCAGACTTTACACAAACACACAAATGCATTTGGATGGATGCCATATGTTAACATTTGTAGATGTTAGTGTGTTTATGCAGCTGAGGTTGATCCACTGGTGGAAAAGACAGTGTGTTTATTTGATCTTTATCTGGTTGTTTTAACTCTTAGTCTTGCTCTTAAAGTGTTGCATTTCTGTTGCCTTTAGGGGTCATTGATATAGATGCCAGAGAGATATGAACTGAAAGTCTGACCCTCTGAGCCCTGTGAGATCAGCCTTGACAGTGAATGTGATCTTCCCCTGCAAACTCAGTGTTTATCAATTACTGAACACGCATATCTGGATTGGGACTAAAAGCCCCTGAAAGTCAGGGCTTTATGATGCTCACAAGCATTCCAGTTGTTTTTACCTTTTATTATAAAGAAGTCCACATAATTTAAGTCTTTAAATAACTATATATGCTAAAGTAAATTACTCATTTTTACTACGTGAAACAAGGTCAGCGATCACATGAAACTCTATCCAAAACTAATTAAAACCCTAACACAGGCACACTGTTCTCGCTCAGCACATCGTATTGCAACACTGCTTTTCTGTATGATAATTCAGCCATGAATAAGTTTGGGGATAGCACTCCATGGTAGGATTTAGTGGAGGTAACACGCTAAGCACATAAGCCTGTTATAACACATGTATGAGTATGGTGGCATACATTAAAGGGAGGCTGGATGTTATACCTCAGCTAATCTCTTACCACAACACCTACATGTGTTTAAATACTGTAAAAATGCCATTTGTTATTTAGATATGGATAGAGATGAAAGGAAAAAAATGTGTAGTTATTATTCATTTCATTTTACGTTTAGCATATTTCGGTGTAAAAATAGAATGAAATAAAATACTATTTAAAACAAAGGAAAAAAAGTTTGAGCGTTCAGGGGCCTGCTCTTGTTTTTAACTTTTTAACTTTAACGATTCATTAAAAAAGAATCAGGTTAAAGGATCTAAAAGAAATCCAGAAAATCTTGTATCCTACTCTATATTCTCCAAAGTAACAGCTATTCATGGAATGTTTGTCACAAATAAAAACATTGAATCTTTAATAATAATGGATTGCATTTTATATAGCGCTTTTCGGGACCCCTCAAAGCGCTTTACAATTCCACTATTCATTCACACACTGGTGAAGGCAAGCTACAGTTGTAGCCACGGCCGCCCTGGGGCAGACTGACAGAAGCAAGGCTGCCATATTGCACCATCAGCCCCTCTGGCCATCACCAGTAGGCAGTAGGTGAAGTGTCTTGCCCAAGGACACAACAACCAAGACTGTCTGAGCCGGGGCTCGAACCGGCAACCTTCCGATTACAACACGGACACACAACTCTTGAGCCACGATCGCCTTTAGAACTTAAACATTTTAGCATAGCATGCAAACTATAAAGAACTGCAACAGGTCTTCTGTAAATTGAAGCCGAATGCTCACATTCTGGTTATATTGTAAGAAGTGAAATATTTCTGATTTATTTATCGGTTATTAGATTCACTGGCCTGCTCTGAAGGAAAACGTGGAAATGTGCAAACTGGCTGGCAAAAATGAAAATGTAAGTGTTTCTAAAGAAAGCCATTCAATCTATAGATTTTAAGTTTCTGTGATTACTAAATGTACCTGTTCAATCAGTCCTTCCAGTCTACCTCATACATGTTCTTTTTCTGTCCCTGCTTGTTCCAGCTGGAATGTGCAAATTTTATCAGGGTCCTTCACAATTACAACCGAACACATGTCTATGCCTGTGGGACAGGGGCCTTCCACCCCACTTGTGCATTCATTGAAATCACTGGCCACAAAAAGGTAAAGTGGGCATGAGTGGATCTTAACAGGAAACATTTTGAATAGAGTCGATAAATAGGCTTACGTTTGTGAATCCTCTTAATTTTGTCTCTCAGGATGGCGTTTTGAAGCTGCTGTCTAATACAGAGGAGTCTGGCAGGTTGAAATGTCCTTTTGATCCCTTGCAGCCATTTACATCAGTCCTCACAGGTAAGATAACATAGGTGACATTGTACAAAGCAGTCCTCTACCTGCCTTATCTTTTATTGAGCGAGAATTTTACAGCTGCAGAGCGCCACGCTTCACTTCACTCAGTTATTTGCAATGAATTTGTATTCATGTCTTTGTTTGTCAGCCCTCTTCTCCCATTTTTGGGGGCCAAGAAAAACACAAGCTTACGTGTCTCTGCAGCAACAACAAAGTTACTTGGCAGACAAATGCAAACAATTGTGTCTCTTGCATGTGCTTGTTTCAGTATGTTAATTGAAATCTTACTCACTCTGTATATATTTAAAAAAAAAAACTGTAAGATTTGTTTTCTAAGTCTACTGTGCTTCTATTTAGATCAGTACCTGTATGCAGGCACATCTTCAGACTTCCTGGGCAAAGATACAACGTTCACACGCTCCCTAGGCCCTCCTCCTGACCAACACTACATACGCACAGACATCTCTGAAAACTACTGGATCAATGGTACACACATGCTTGCACACATCCACGTTAACAGGCTGACTGCACTCCAAACTTGTTATTGCTTTTTCGCATAACTTCTGGCCTCTCTACTGATACAAAGAGCCTCTCTGTGCCCTCAGGATAGTTATTGGCATTCCAGAGGGAAGGAAACAGCCCACTTACTCATTTAGCTGGAACTTTTATATGAATGCCACAGCTGAGCTGGGACCACGCCTATGGGGGAATTTACAGTGTGCCACAAAGTTCACAGTCCTTGTCACACCGCATGTTAGCCAGGGGTATGCGCAGTCATCACTTAGGACTGAGGAGGGACCTTCTCTGCATGCATCATCTCCTGTTTGCAGTGTTTTATATCCACTGATAGACTGTCATGTATCAACAGTTGTCACTAGGACCTAAATCCTTACACATGGTCTCCACATTTCACAACTACACAGTCAGAGATTTTTGGAGCAATGCACTCTCTCTCTCTCCCTCTCCGTCGGTGTGTGTAAACAGTGAGTGTCGACACAGGGCAGCCGTCTTGTTTTCCCATTTCTTGGAGTGTTTCGGTGTTTCAGTGGAACCTCTTTTCATGACTAGCAATGACCTTCTGTCCCATGTGTTAGCTATAATGCATTAAGCCGTTCCAGTTGGGGAATCACCCTCTAGTGGTTGGCTTGGCTTCTAGGTGTTGAGCTAATGTTGATGTAATGTCACTGTAACGTTTAAACCTTTGGGCCTGTTCCCTCCTGATGGCAACATGCTGTTGTTTCTCCTTACTGCTATTTTCCTACATCATATGTAGAACTTACTGTTTTAATACAGTGTCCAGTGCCGTAAATGCAGTTGAAAATTGTGCTTACTAATAATTCTTAGTAGCTTGAACAGTTAAAATCAATCCAAAAATAACCTATTTGCCCTCCAGTAATTATCAGAGGCAAACATGCTTTGTGCAGTTTAACTGTATTGTAAGTATTAATTATCCATTTGATAATTAGCAAGTGTACAGATTAAATTTTGCACATGCACACAGGATCATCACATAAAACATAATATATTCTTATTAATAGGCCCGTGACAGTTTTATTTTTTAATTTTTCACAATCAAAGAAATTTTGGAACTGTCCTGCTTTACTGTCACCTTTTGCATCAGCATTGTGTCTAACCAAAGCAGGTACTTCCCTTCGCATTATTCAGTTTTTAAATGTTTGCTAATCTAGAAGTATCGTGTCAATTTCATGTTGATAGATTGCTTTCATGTCCCAAAGAGGCCAAAAAAAACAGTAACAAAGATTTTAAGTGCACGACATATACACTTGTCATCGATGCTCACATATAAATCAGATGTTTAACCCAGGGTGTGTAAGAGTATCTTTATGCTGCACTGATGCATAATTGATACTGCCTGACATACTGAAAATCATGTAAATTTAAACAAAACTGCTTTTAAAGTCAATTAAATCTTCTTTTACAATTGCTGCATGTACCTAAGTGCAGTTTATGTTCAGGCCATTTCAGCTTTACACTTAGTAAAGAGAGAGTAATACATCAAATCTCTCTGCAGAAATAGAAGACGACTGTAAATAAACACACGCTAAGTGTAGTTTTAATGCTACCTTAAGACTGCAGTTTATGCCAAAACCATTATGACTCATTTTAATGCTATTTCCTCTGTCTTCTCCATTCTGTGTCTTCAGAGGCCAGGTTTATAGCTGCCCATCCCATTGCAGACACCTACAATCCAGATGATGATAAAGTATACTTTTTCTTCCGCGAGGTGTCCTGGGAAGGCAACGACAAAAACATCCTCTCCCGAGTGGCTCGTGTGTGCAAGGTGAGATATTACAGGAGAGAGGTGTGGAAAGTAGGAGATATATGGTGGAGGGGTGAAGGGGCTGGTGCAGTATAACTAATGAGCAACAGCAAAGCCAATGAAAGAAAGTATGATGCTGTACATGGATGCTGAGGCCCAGGTAGTGATGTGGTAGTAGCAGAGAACTGGTGCTTGAAAAGACAGCCTAAAGTAGATAGGACCTTGTAAAATAAGAGATGGTGTCCTGATCGGGTGTAAATCTTTGGCTGGGAGGAACCGTTCCCAATTTTATCCCAATTCTTTTCTGGTCATCCAACTCTGTCTGGAGCAGTAAATCGTGGTTATAAGTCTTATGTTTGCTGTGTTTTTACTACCTAGTCAGTCACTGAGGTCAATATAGGTAATTTCTTTTCTGAAAGGCCTTTGATGATAATGTGTCACTGCCACTTAGGTTCTGTTTGACAGCACGTCAAAACAACTATAAGTTTAGCTGCACCGCTGACTGTGGGCAGAAGCAGGGCAGATGCATGATCTGAGGCTCTCTGTGCACCACGCAGTGTGTCGCAAGAGGCAGACTAAACACAACAAAAAGCAAGCCATTTATTATGGCTGATGAAAAGTCCATAAATACAAAGTGCATAAGAAAAATAACAAAATAGAGACTATAGAAGTGGAGACAGCTGGGGCAAACCATAGGCAATCAAGAGAGGGAGACAAGATCAAGTTTAAGGGGGGCCGAATACTTTTGCAAGCCATTGTAAATCACCTTTTCAAAGATGCTTAAACATAACTGTGAGGATGAAAAATGAAATCAAAACAGGAATCAAGCCCTCAACCTATACTTAAAAAACAAACAAACAATAAGACCAAACAGAAAACAGCCAATAAATGACAAAATCCAGAAATCAAAACATTCAACTCTATGTAACAGACCAGGCATTATAACACAGTGTCCAATTAGTTCTCCAAGTGGAACTAGGTGACATGGCAGTTTAATTTTAGCATGCACGATCCAGGACTGCATTCTTAGAAAAAAGCTTTCAGCGTGGTTATGACTTGAGAATAAGCCGTAAAGCAGACTGGAAGGAGATTCGTCTGAATTACGGCCCTTTCTTCTCTGAGCCATGTGTCTCTCATGTACTTTGTACTTTGGTTCATATTCATTATCTGCATTGTGAATGACAGCTCCTTACATCAATCCTCTTTGAAGATTATCACCATTGTGAAAGATCCCCATTAAGTGCTTACATTTTGGGGGGTCTCTTAAGCACAAGTGTGTTTTTTGTGTGTTAAACCATAACAGCCCTTTCTACACCACTTGGCTAAGCTTAACAAGGGGGGTCTTTTAAGTTTTCAATGCGTGACAAGGAGATACACTCGAACCCTCTTACCATACCTCAGTCAAAGGTCTCAATTTAAAACAGCAATTCATATGCTAAAGTAAAACCTGCATTATTAATCAGCATTTGAATTCTCCCCTTCATCACGCTGCACTTCCCCTTCGTTCGTTTTCCTTTTATGTTTTTCACCCTTCTCAGTGTTTTCCTTTCGCTTTTCAGTTACTCCTGACTGAAGGTCTTCTTTGTGCAAGTTAAACAAGCAAATGTATTCCAGAGGCATGTGGTTCACTTGTTTATTTTCATAATTAGTGAAGGAAACCCGAGTCAGTCTATGATGCTCTGTGTTGTCTTTCCAACCGCATTGGCTGGATTACAGTGTTTATGCTCAAATGTATATTATTAATTACAGTTCGTGTTTAGCCGCGTTGGACAGCTGCACTCTGCGACGATGGTTTGTTACAGAGTGTGTGGTTGTGTTTCAGAATGATGTGGGTGGGCTGAGGAGTCTGACCAATAAATGGACAACCTTCCTCAAAGCCAGACTTGTGTGTTCCATCCCTGGGCCAGATGGCGTGGACACACACTTTGATCAGCTCCGTAAGTGACTGTAAGATTAAAAACTGAAAATCTGGTCAATAAAGTCAGTTATATGTTCTAAAAATTGTTTTCTAAAAACATTTCATACAAGGACAAAAATGCATCAACAGTACCACATGGCTAATGGTGCTACCGACTGCAGTTCTTCAATACTGCAATTTATTGTTGGATGCTCGCCTAAATCTTTTCTGTTTGGTTATTGATAACAAAAAAAAAAACAAAAAACACTTTTTCATTCTTTTTTATTTTGTAGAGGATGTCTTTCTACTCCCAACCAGAGATGACAAGAACCCCATAGTGTATGCAGTCTTCACAACCTCTAGGTATGATTTTTATCAACACAACCTCAGGTCCTTTCCTGTTTCTCCAAGCATTAACCTGACCTGTTCTTTTTACTTTTCCTCCAGTTCCATTTTCCGTGGCTCAGCAGTGTGTGTTTATAGCATGGCAGACATAAGGGCTGTGTTTAATGGACCTTATGCCCACAAGGAGGGGCCTGACCACCGCTGGGTAGAATATGAGGGGAGGATACCATATCCCCGTCCTGGAACGGTATGTTGTATGCCAAAGAGAAGAGCATAAAGAAAAAAAGAAAAGAAATCATCCGTACCTTCTGTACTTATCACTGTTAGCTATTCTGTTTCCATATATTGGATAAGGTGTTTAATTTTCCTCCTAATTGCAAAATTATAAACATGGCTTTAATGTAAAAGTTTGCTGGAGGGAATACTTACATCTGCACATGCAGCCTGATAATGTATGACCTTCACTTACACTTTGATGAGGTTACTTGACAAGTTAATCAGATTCATGTTTCAATTTGTTTAAAAAAAAGATAAATTAAGCAAAGTAATGTGATGGACAATTTGGTGCTGACATCAGGTGTGAAACAGATGTTTCACATATGCTTTGTCTCCTGCAGTTCTTATTTTAGCCTCTAGAAGGAGACACATACCAATAAATTGTTTGAGTGAATCTGCTCCATAGTTGAACTGGTGGAAGGAAATATAGAAAACACGGTCACTAATCAGCTGTGATTTTTTGTAATTTTAGTGCCCAAGCAAAACATATGATCCAAGGATCAAGACCACTAAAGACTTCCCGGATGAAGTTGTCAGATTTATTCGATTCCACCCTCTGATGTATCGCTCTGTCTACCCTCTCACTGGTCGTCCTGTGTTCACACGTGTCAAAGTTGACTACACCTTGACTCACATTGTGGTGGACAGAGTTTTGGCAGATGATGGCCAGTATGAGGTTATGTTCCTGGGAACAGGTGAGTCACACCTCTCCTCCTAGTTTTTGTGAAAGTCAACATTTGACCAGCAGAGGGCAGTATATTACTGGTTGTTTTCGTTGGCATTGGACAGATTTTGTGTAGGGTGAAATGAACATATGCAGTCTATATTTTAACATCGATATGCTTCTCAAACAACATATTCTGGTGGTAATTTCACCCCTCTTTCTTTCTGTCTCACTCTCCTAGATGTTGGCTCCATTCTTAAGGTAGTGAGCATCACTCAAGAAAACTGGTCAACAGAGGAAGTGGTTCTTGAAGAGCTTCAAGTGTTCCAGGTTTAGTTCAAAACACAGTTATTCAAATAAATACACACATACGTTACACACTGATTTGCTGAGTTTTGTTTCCTCATAGTGTAGCTGTCGGTGACTTATAAGACAGTGAAATATTTATATGTAATGAATACATAACTGACCTCCAATAATTAATATCCATTAGCTTTTAAAGTTGATGGAGTTTGTTTTCTTTTTGCAGAATCCCTCTCCTATCCTTAGTTTGGAGATCTCGTCTAAACAGGTTTGTTCTGCACACTTTGTGCAATTGTTCGTGCAAATTTGCTCTTCGCTTCGATTAAGCCACATGCATTAAGTTATATGCACATGGCTTGTGTGGCACACATCATATAGCTTTTATCTTGTTATTCATGTTTTGGTTTTCCTCTCTGTCTGTAGTCTTCCCCATTTTCTTGTAGCTCTCTCACCCTTACGCCTCATTATATAAGGGTCAGGAATGTCAGTAGACACTTCAACCCCAATCACAGCTTCCATTAATCACCAGCAGTGTTTGACCTGTGTCTGTGTGCCTGCCCGCTAGAGTTTTGAGGCGAGTCAGACTAGATCCAGTTGCAACTGCAAAATTCAGCCTATTCATTTTGCAAGCCAAATGTCAGCCTTCACAGAAACCTAAGAATATCTTGGAGTGTTCTTTAGGTTATAACCTGATTTTCAAAGTAGTAATCATTTAAGAAACTTAACCATGTGCTTTTAATAAAATGAAAAATATATCAGACTCATATCTATATGCAGCCATTCTTTCAGCAGTATACGCCATCCTAAATTGGTCCTACACCACAAAGGAAACCATATGAAGACTATGCACTAAAGCATACTAGATCAATAGCAATCTTGCAACCGAACTTTTTAGAGCAACAAAGATTTCTTGAAGACGTTTCACTTCTTATCCAAGAAGCTTCTTCTTTAATTCCAAGCTTAGAGCTGACGAAGCTGGTGAAACATCTTCAAGAAACTACCAGGTCTGTTTTATATGAACTTGTTTCAGTGCCAACTCTGTAATTGCATCCCATACGACACTGAAGCAAAAATGCCTTCAAATCAGAAGTATCACCTCACACAGTTCACTCAAGGCCTGTAGGTCTGTAGTCTACTGTTCTGTGTAGGTGTTTATGTTTTGTTGTCCTAGCAGCCTTGTTTCTGTTGATTAATGCCATCTTCGTTCTGTATTGTAATGTGATTTTTATCTGCAACAGATCAAGAACTTAGTGGAAACCGGTTTTTACTCACTCAGAGCAGTTTAAATGTAGTGTATTTAATGTTGCGTAGAATCTTTTTCTTTATAAAAAATAGTACATGGTGTACAAAGAAAATGTTATGCTAAGAAAGGGAAATCTTTAAATCTGTGTGTGATTCATTTAAAGCAAACAACAAAGTATATTCTGATAGATGAAGAATGTTAATGCGGAAAGAGGAAAACTTGTTAATAAATATAATTTTAATATAGAACAAATATTTTTTCCATATAAAATAGTTTTAGCTTTAGCAGACTTAACTAATTAACTATTTATGTGGACGATGTACAATTGTTAAAGTTGAAGGTGCTTTGTATGTTTGTATGTCTTGAAGCAATGTTGTGTTTTACCATAGCAACAGCTCTACGTGGGTTCAAGTGAGGGTCTAGCCCAGGTTTCACTCAGCAGATGCCACCTATATGGCCAGGCTTGTGCTGAATGCTGCCTGGCACGAGATCCCTACTGTGCCTGGGATGGACACACATGCGCACGATACATCCCTGCCTCGAAGAGGTATGCACATGACACTTGTAGTACTTTTGTATTTTTGAAATGTTCTCATGCATTAATTCAAAGCAGTAAGCCTGAAACAAGTATGTGAACAAACCCCAAAATAAAAGGAAATCATTAGAGTGCAAATGTTGACCGATGAACACTGACTCGTTGGTTCCATAGTTTGCCAGGGGGTGTGTCTGTTTGTGTGTGTTTCCAAGGCTAGTTCTTAATGCTGGAACTCTCAGACATTCATAGCTCTCCCTAAATGTTTTTTTTTCTGTTTTCATTCTCTTCATCTCACAATATTTTCCAAGCCATTAGGTAATTATTTTTTCTCAGGCAATGATTAAAGATGTTTCAGCGTGTTATCGGCTGACACTGTCATTCCACACTTACAGAGTGTGGTCCTTGAGGTGAAAATCAAATCCTGTTCTGTGTTTTTGTTTGTGAGCTTGCTTGCATGAATCCAAGCTCTGAGCAAACTGTGCCCTACAGTTTGGGTTCATAGTGCCATATTATTGCCCAGTGGGGATTTTGTTATGGTTTGTACAATAGTGGAGGCCTCCAGGGCTCTTTGAAAGCAGATCTTCAGAGTGTCAGGGAATGTAGGCTACAGATGTCCCACCACACAGGACTAGCAGGAAGTGGAGGAAGAAATCAATATAAACTGAAGGAGCCCAAGTGAGCAACACAAGTCAGAGGTCAAAGAAACTTGTTTCTTTCTTCTTTAAAAAAAAACCTGGTACACTCTAAATGTTTTTGCAGGAAAACAGATAAAAATGCCAACAAGATGATGCCCCCAACTCTGTGTGTGTGTGTGTGTGTGTATATATATCCTATTGTAGTGATAGACAAAATTATCTTATGGAATAAAATGGAGTGGTTCTTCTTCTTTAGCTATACAACTATAAAGCTAATGCCTCCTTACATTTTAAGTGCTTTTGAAAAAATAGTAATTGTCAGACAATTTCTTCATGGGTTTATCACAAGTAATGGCAAATTTGTCATTCATGTGAAGTGTGTCAGAAACATTCATTTTAATAACTATTTGTTTGACTGATTTACAAAATGCAGTATTGAGAAACACAAAGAAAGGTATTAAAAACCCTTTATCTGATATTTTTTGTTTTGTTTTTCAGTTTTCGCATGTTGCAGTGTTAACATCAATCTGGATTTACTTACTTCAATGACTGAAAATAATTTCACATAATTTTCATATAACAGTGTTATTACCAACTTTGATTTTGGCTTTTTTGGGTAATTATGGCTGTTTGTTTTATAATGTCTGATTCCTGTCGAACCTTTAACTGTGATAATATGGTGATGCTAAAATTGTAATTCATAGAATAGAATTCAGATAAATGTCTAATAAGGACTTGATGAGTGGATAATCTACTAATGTAATGTACACAATATATATTAAATTAGCTGGATGCTAAGGTTGTGAAACTCCCCTCGTGGAGAATACTGGACTGTGAGCATAAAGCATAAAAGTTCTTTATACTTTAAATTCTGCATCTCAATACTGAAGACTGAAGTGGTCATACCCCTCTTTGTTTTTTGCTTTGTTTCTGTGTTTGCGTGCAAGGCGAGCTAGAAGACAGGACATCAAGAATGGAGACCCTGCCATGCAGTGCTGGGACACAGAAGACAGTATGTACACTTTATGTCTTAAGGGGTTCGGCCACTGTTTGTTTTTGTAAAGCATTTCTTAAAAAATCAGGAAAGTATAAACAGTGTCAAGAAAGACAAAAAATCCTGCAACAGATGGTATGGCTCCCATGGAGCTCCGATGTCAAGATTACAGAGTCAGTTTGGGATCACATGAAGAGACAGAATCAACGGAGAACGGAAGTTTTTCAAAGAAATATGACAATATGTCCAAGATACTTTCATGTTGGCTGACACAGCTGAAATTTGTGTGCTTGTGTATCCATTGTTGGGGTTTTCATGTCATGCAACAAACATGTTTTAATGACAGTGATGTCCTTTGCCTGGTACTGCATAATTGTCACAAAAAATAATCTAATTATGAGACATACATCAGATACTGTATCTTTGTTAGAACCTGAGAAAACATAGACACTACTTTTGGTTTTTACAGGTCCTGGTACTGGGAGTGTGGAGGAGAAAATTATCTTTGGGGTGCAGAGCAACTCCACATTTCTCGAGTGTATCCCCAAATCTCAGCAGGCCCGGATTCGATGGTACATGCAAAGACCGGAATCTGAACGCAGAGAGGAGGTTAGAATATTACTGCATTTTTCATAGATTCAGCTCTCCTTCTGTAGTCTGAAAGTCTTTTGCTTTTCTTGGGTTCATGTTGAAGGGGTTGCATTTCTTTTCTTCCTACATCAAAAAGTGGAAAAAGGTTAGAGTGCCTAGGAACAGTGTTTGCTACAGCGGCAATAATTTCTCACAGAAATGCTTCAAAACATCAAAACACACCACAGCGGACTTCATGTGCACTGCTTTTGGAGTGTTGAACTTCTCAGCAATTATTTGTACTAAAAATCTCTGCATACCCATATTTTTAATAATGTCTAAGGCCTTGACAGCAACGTTTCCAGCCATTGCAAAAACAATAGGGTGGGAACAGAAAGGCATAAAAGCAGAAAGAGGTAATATATTTGTATTTGAGGTGTGGAAAGGAACTAAATAATGATGACAGTTGTCTCCTGATTGAGACAACAGAGATGTGCTTACTCAGCACCTCAGTGCCTTCCCTTCCCCCTATCCAAACATACAATCTATCCTGCACCCACTGCAAGTGGCCCTTTTAGTGCTTAACCTCTCTACTTCCCACTACACTAATTTCCTCCTACCACTGTCCTCTGTCCTCTCTCTCAGGGGTGAATGTAAGCACAGTGACAGGTGCATAGGCCACTAAAGACCCATGTGCTTCTTTATGGGCTCACACTGCACAAAGCTCTGCTTTTTGTCTGTGGGTGGATGAATGCATGTGTCTGTGTTTCTTTATGTACCCCTACAGTGAAAAACTATAACAGAG